ACACCCTCCCTTACCCCTCTCTCTCCCCTCACCTACCTCTCCTCTCTTCTCCCCTCACTCTTCTCACCCTACTCTCTCCCTCACTCCTTCTACTCTCTCCTTACATGCTCTCTCTCCCCTTACCTACTCTCTCCCTCACCTAATCTCTCCCCTCACCTACCTCCCTTACCTACTCTCTCCCTTACCCTACTCTCTCCCTTACCTATCTCTCCCCTCACCCTACTCTCCCTCACCCCTACTCTCTCCCTCACCCTATCCCTCCCCTCACCTCCCCTCTCCCTCTCTTCTCCCCTCCCCACTCTTCTCCCACCTACTCTCTCCCCTCCCCTACTCTCTCCCCTCCCCACCCTACACCCTCCCTTACCTACTCTCTCCCCTCACCTACACTCCCTTACCTACTCTCCCCTCACCTACACTCTCCTCTCTTCTCCCTCACTCTTTCTCACCCCTACACCCTCCCCTTACCTCTCTCTCCCTCACCTACACCTCCCCACCTACTCTCCCCTCCCACCTACACCCTCCCTTACCTCTCTCCCTCCCACCCTCCCCTCCCTTACCTCTCTCTCCCTCACCACCCTCCCTCCCACCTGCTCTCTCCCTCCCTACACCTCCCTCCCACCTACCCCTCCCTCACCTACACTCTCCTCTCTTCTCCCCTCACTCTTCTCACCCTACTCTCCCTCCACCTACTCTCTCCCTTACCTACACCTCCCCTTACCTCTCTCTCCCTCACCTACACCCCTCACCTACCTCTCTCCCTCACCTACTCCTCTCTTCTCCCTCTTCCTCACCTCTCTCCCCTCACCTCTCTCCCCACCCCTCACCTACTCTCTCCCTCCACTTATCCACCCCTCACCCACTCTCCCTCTCTTCTCCTCCCACTCTTCTCCCTCTCTCCCTCCCTACTCTCTCCCTCCCCTACTCTCTCCCCTCACCTCTCTCTCCCCTCCCACCTATCCCTCCCCTCCCCTCTCCTCTCTTCTCCCCTCACTCTTCTCACCTCTCCCTCCCCACCTACACCCTCCCTTACCTACTCTCTCCCTCACCCTACTCTCTCCCCTCACTACTCTCTCTCCCTCCTCCTTACTACTCTCCCACCTACACCTCCCTTACCTCTCTCTCCCCTCACCTCTCCTCTCTTCTCCCCTCACTCTTCTCCACTTCTCTCTCCCTCCCCTACTCTCCCTCACCCTACACCCTCCCTTACCCTACTCTCTCCCTCCCCCTCTCCTCTCTTCTCCCTCACTCTTCTCCTCTCTCCCTACTCTCTCCCCTCACCTCCCTTACTCCTCCACCTACATTCTCCCTCTCTTCTCCCCTCACTCTTCTCACCCCCTCTCTCCCCTCACTACTCTCTCCCTCATCTCCCTCACCTCTCTCTCCCCTCACCTACTCTCTCCCTCACCTACACTCTCCCCTCCTCTTCACCTCTCTCTCCCTCCCCTACCTACTCTCTCCCTCACCTACTCTCTCTCCCTACTTCCTACTCTCCTCTCTTCTCCTCCTCCTTCACCTACTCTCTCCCTTACCTACTCTCTTCCCTCACCCACACCCCTCCCTCACCACTCTCTCCCTCTCTCCTCCTTCTCACCCTACTCCCTCCCCCACCCCTCCCTCACCCTTCTCTCTCCCTCCACCCCCTCTCTCTCTTCTCCCTCACTCTTCTCTTTCCTCCCCACCCACCTACTCTCTTCCCTCACCTACACCCCCTCCCTCCCTACTCTCTCCCCACCCTCTCTCCTCACCCCTCTCTCCCTCACCCCTCTCTCCCTCACCTACTCTCCCTCCTCTCTCTCCCTCACCTACTCCCCTCACCCTCTCTCCCTCCACCCCTCCTCTCCCTCACTCCTCCTCTCTCCCTCCTCCCTCTTTCTCTCTCCCTCACCTATCTCTCCTCACCCCTCCCTCTCTCCCCTCTTCTCTCTCCCTCACCTACTCTCTCCCTCCCACCCACTCTCTCCCTTACCTACTCTCTCTCACCCCACTCCTCTCCTCACCCCTACTCTCTCCCTCACCTACTCTCTCCTCCCCTCTCTCCCTCCCTCTCTCCCTCTTCTCTCCTTTCTCTCCCTCACCCTCTCTCCCTTACCCACTCTCTCCCTCACCTCTCTCCTCACCCTACTCTCTCCCTCACCCCTCTCCCCCTCACCCTATACTCTCTCTCCTTACCTACTTTTTCTTTTCTCTTCATTCTCACCTCCCCCCCCTCCCTCCCCACCTACCTACTCTCTCCATTACCCCAGTCTCTTATCCCTCTCTTCCCTCTCCTCCCCCTCTGCTTCCCTACCCCAACTCCTCCTTCCCCTACCCCCAACTCCCCCTCCTTCCCCTCACTAGCTCCCCTCTTTCCCCCACCACCCATCTCCTGCATTCACCTCCTCCATTCCTCCCATTCCTCCCCTCCATCCTGCCCTCCTCATGTCCTCCATCCCTCCCTCCCCAATCCCTCCCCTTCCTCAATCCCTCCCCTTCCTCCAATCCCTCCCCTCCCCCAATCCCTCCTTCCCAGGTGTTGATTATTCCCAGGTAGGAATCACGTGGTATAACTCCTTGTTTACAAACAGAGCTGACTTATGACGCTGGTCGGAGATGCTATGACGCAAGTGTGTGTTATACGCGTGTGTCTGTGAGGGGAGGAGTGGGGAGGGAGAGGGGGGGTATAGGAGGAGTGGGGAGGGAGAGGGAGGGGGGGATTGGATGAATGGGGAGGAAGAGAGAAGGAGGAGGAGGAGGAGGTCAAGGAAAAGGGTAACGGTAAAGAGGAAAGATAAGATGTGTAAATAATTTTTCCCTAGATGTCCTAATTGTCAAGAAAAAGATGTTGACGTGGTTTACCGTATAGCACCCACGTCTGCACACACTCACACACACACACACACACACACACACACACATTTGCGTCAGGGGTGATTTATTCGAATACTTTTACTGCTACTCCTTGCCATTGTAGACTTATCCTTGGAATACAGGCTGCGAAAAAATACCTTAAATATACAATTGAATTAATCCCGTAAATAGATTCCTTAAATTTAAATGAAAAATACAATTGAGTGAGAAAAAAATATATATTTATTAATAGTGCAAAAAAATCGAGTATATATTGAGGTGAAAAAAATATAGTTGAATCGTACACAAAAATATAGTCCAGTGGTGCAAAAAATAGAATACTGTATAACGGTGCCTAAAATAGTTTGATGGTTCCAGAATAGTTTAATAATACAATAAATACAGTCTAATATTACAATAAATACAGTTTAATAATACAATAAATACAGTTAAGTGACATATAAGTCAGGATAGAGGCAGCAGAGGTTTAGTAGACGAGATGTTATGGTGGACGATGATTGGCTCAGTGGTGTGTGTCTTGGTGGGGAGGTGGTCACTCATACACTCACTTGTATATGCTCGTTCACTCAGTCACTCACTCACTTGTGCTCACTCACTCACTCACTCGTATATGCTCACTCACTCACTCACTCTCACGACCTACCCGAGGGAGAGCTGCTGTCGGACAACACCCCCGAGAGATCATCCCGAAGGTCTGTCCCGAAAGACAAAATCCCGAAAGAAAAAAAATCCCAAAAGACCACCTCAGAACCCCCCCTCCCCCTTCCCTCATCGGACAAACTTCCATCAGGACAAAATCCCATCCGGACAAAAGCCCCCCTCTGGACAATTTCCCTCTTAGGCAAAATCCCACATAAGAAAATTCCCACAATGATTTTATTTTAGCCACTATGGTATTTTATGTACGTAAATGTACTGGGATTTGTACTAACTCCCAAAAAGTATCTCTCCTGAGGGGTCCGATAATTTTCAAAATGAACACTATGACTCTTGTTGTCTCGGTAAGGTTGTCAAAATCCTTCGTTCGTTTTGTTATATTGTCTCACTCAAAATCGTCTAGATACTTTTTTTGGGGGGACGTGTATGTAAATGCGTTAGATCAGGTAAAATTTGTTGAGGTTAGGTTAGGTTAGATTTGGTTAGGTTAGGTTAGATTTGGTTAGGTTAGGTCAGGTCAGATTTGGTTAGGTTAGGTCAGGTCAGATTTGGTTAGGTTAGGTTAGATTATGGCAGATTAGATCAGGTTTTCAAAGGGTGTTACAGGTTAGGTAAGGTCAACATTGCTTAAGGTTTTTGTTAATGTGTGTGTTTTAAAGAAAGAAAACAGAGAATATGAATTTAGGCTGAATTTATTGACTTAATGGCGTTTAAATTACACTGAGACTCGACTGTGGTGATGGAGTGTGAGAACCTGACAATAGTATACAGTCTACAGATGAAGCTGCGACTCGACCTTCAAGGGTTAAAGGGAAGTACTGTACGGTGTGTGAGCGTTGAGTGAGGAGGAAGAGGACGGGGGAGGGGGAGGGGGAAATATGGATTAAACTATGAATGTTTTAAAATCCCAAGTTAGGGCCTAACTTTACCTCCGCTTCCTGTTCCTTCTACCCCCTCACTCTCCCTGCTGCTTCCGTCTCTCCCCCTTACCTCTCCACTCTCCCCCCTTACCTCTCACTCTCCCCTCTTCCCCATACCTCCAGGAGACAGTTGTAGTATGGTGGTGGTGAAAGTAAACATCCCTCGTGTCAGAAGTAGCGTGGTGGAAAGTTGAAATGAGAATCAGGCGCTTGGCATCTGCTCCCCTCCTTCCTCCCCTCCAGCAAGATAAAGCATAACTACCACAAGAGAGCTTAATCCCCTCACCACGGCACATGTCCAATTTTTTCATAAATCACTGTACGCGTCTCTCGATCTGTTTGGATGTTTCAAAACACCGTTGCAATATCGAGTGGATGTTTATGTTTAGTATTTGGGTGATGTTTACTGTGGGGGATGTTGTATAATATGATATTTGTGTTGGGAGAAGGATGGAGTAAGCGAGTGTGGGCGGTCAGGAGTCCTGGGAGGGTTGGCGGCGTTGTGGAGGTGGCAACAGTGGGTGAGGCAGGTAAGGCAAGGCAACATGGGCCGGGCCGTATTAGTGTGAGCCTAGACGTGAGAGAGGGAGGGTGCGTTTCTAGTGCCTCCATTCATACACCTCTTGAGGGTATTTTTTTAGTTGTTTTGTTTACTTTTTTTCGTGGTTTATCGTGAAGATTCAGGGTTTATATCACAAGCCACGGTATGCGAGTCGGAGGGTGAAGAGCGCGGGATACACTCGGGCGCAGAGAGCTATCCGGCCAGCAAAGATAGGCTCCGTGTCGAGCCTGTTGGAAGTCGTGTAAGTATACATAGTTCAGCTGTGACCTTTGACCTTCCCTGCTGCTACTGTTCACCTTAACTACCCCGCCACTGTAAACTCCACTTAACCACCTTATCTGTACTACAATACTCCTCGTTTATTTATATACTGAATTTGTTGGATTAAAAACAAAAGTTACTGTTTGGACTAACCGCTGCTATCAAGAGAAAATAAACAAATAAGTAATGCAAATATCTCACTGAATCTTGTAATGTATTTTTCTTCTATTTAATGAAACAAAAACATCGATTTTTCTTTTTTGTAATGAATTTTGATTTTTTTTCATAAGCGCCGTATTTGTTTCTTTTATTACTATTATTATTGTTTCTGTTGATTTTGCATTATTATTTTTATTTGAGATGGTACAATTTTACGTTTTGGTACAAGGTTGAGTTATGGAACAATTGGAAATTTTGTTCCATCTTGCCTCACAAAATCAGTATCAAAGTTTAAAGCAACTCAGCATCGTGGAATATTGACAGTGTTTTTCAGTATAGCAAGGTAGAGCAATACAGTATAGCAAATAATGAAATACTCTACAATTAGCAATCGTCTGGATAAATGTATATCCGTGTATAACGTGAATATAGTTGTTGTATTTTCTATAATAGAGTAATGGTGTATTTTCTATATAATTCATGTATATTTTGGTATATTCTGCTGCTTATGTGGGCTAATATGGCGGTGTTAAGTGTACATGTGTGTGTGTTTCTGTTACTGGGGGGCGAAGGAAAGGTACGGGTGGTGATCGTTCGCCTGGCGGTGTTGTGAGCCTCAGTGGTGACCTTCTGCAGTAACCTTGACCCTTGTAGCCTTGACCATGACCTCCCTCATGTGACCCCTGACCTGTGGGTCCTCGGCAACAGTTGTGTATGGTCATTGTGTCCCCGGGTGGTCTTGTAGCTCTCCCGGCGAGCTGGGATACATACATACATACATACATACATACATACATACATACATGGATACTTATGTGCAAATATAGGTTCATTTCGTGTGTATGTAGATTTATACACCCACTCACTCGCGCACACACATGCACATACCTGCAAGCGCACGCACACACACACACACACACACACACACACAAGACAGTGTACATGTAGTTAGGTGGAATATTTACTTTGGTTTAAAGTTGATGGTGTGAATCTATCCAACACCAACCATCGTCGTCATCATCATCATCATCATCATCATCATCATCATCATCATCATCATCATATCAAAATAACACACTTCAAGAATTGACCTTAACTAATTAGGTTCACGTAACATCTAGACCTTAACTTAACAATGTCTCTTAACTGATGCTAAATGAACATATCTTCCCAGTTAAGGTAAAGGCTAACCGTATGTCTGACGTGTGTGTGTGTGTGTGTGTGTGTGTGTGTGTGTGTGTGTGTGTGTGTGTGTTTTATCGTAAGTTAAGAGTAAGGAGGATTTTTTTTTGTTTTTTTCACTTTTGAGGTATAGTGGAAATACTTTTTTTTGTATTTATTGAACTTTATTTTATTTATTTATTTTATTTATTTATTTATTTATTTATTTTATCCTGAGATCTGTTTTTTCCTCCATATTTCGTTGGATAGAGAAGATGATCTCTTATAAATGGTACTATAGGGGTGAATTGTACCATGATGGGGTCTCGGTGTGTACCCTAGATTGTGCCATATTGTACCCAAATAATGCCAGGTTGAATACTCATAGTGCCACATCGTACCTACAACAGTGCCAAATTACACCATAACAAAATCAGAGTTTATCACTGTAGTACTAGAATATACCATAATTACCATAGTCTACCATAACAGTGCCACTTTGTACCATAATAATGCCATAATGTACCATAAGTGCTAAAGCGTACTGTATTTTTCCATAGAGACAGACAGACAGACAGACAGACAGACAGGCGGATATTAATAGAGTAAGATATTGAATGATACAACCAATGAGAGAGAGAGAGAGAGAGAGAGAGAGAGAGAGAGAGAGAGAGAGAGAGAGAGAGAGAGAGTATATCTCTAAACTCTACGGGTCGTCTCCGCCACATTTCATTACCTCTCATAAATTATCAGATTGAATATCACTTTTATCTTCGCTATTATAATCACTGTAATACTTGTGGTTACTGATAGATAGTAGATAGATAATTTGATAGATTAGATATAGATAGATAGATTGATAGACATATTAATATAGATAAACATAGTTGATTAGTTCAGAAGTGTTTTGTATTACGTGAGTACATAGAGAATAAGTGTATTAGTATTCTGAAACACCTAACCTAACCTAACCTAACCTAACCTAACCTAACCTAACCTAACCTATTGGGTTTGAAAGTGTGTGTGTGTGGTGATTGACTCGATATAGGAATTTATAGCATGGTGGTCCGTTATATGAAATTGATATAATGTTTTGATAAAGGTTTGCATAATTTTGACACGGTGAGGAGGAGGAGGAAGAAGAAGAAGAGGAGGAGGAGGAGGAGGAGGAGGAAGAAGAGGAGGAGGGAGGAGAGGAGGAGGAGGAAGAAGAGGAGGAGGAGGAGGAAGAAGAGGAGGAGGAAGAGGAGGAGGAAGAGAGGAGGAGGAAGAAAAGGAGGAGGAGGAGGAGGAAGAAGAGGAGGAGGAGGAAGAGGAGGAGGAGGAGGAGGGAAGAAGAAGAAGAGGAGGAGGAAGAAGAGGAGGAGGAGGAGGAGAAGAAGAGGAGGAGGAAGAGGAGGAGGAAGAAGAGGAGGAGAGAGGAGGAGGAGGAGGAAGAAGAGGAGGAGGAGGAAGAGGAGGAGGAGGAGGAAGAAGAGGAGGAGGAGGAGGAGGAAGAAGAGGAGGAGGAAGAGGAGGGAGGAAGAAGAGGAGGAGGGGAAGAGGAGGAGGAGGAAGAGGAGGGAGGAGGAAGAAGAGGAAGAGGAGGAAGAAGAGGAGGAGGAGGAAGAAGAGGAGGAGGAGGGAAGAGGAGGAGGAGAGGAGGAGGGGAGGAGGAGGAGGAAGAGGAGGAGGAAGAAGAGGAGGAGGAGGAAGAGGAGGAAGAAGAGGAGGAGGAGGAAGAAGAGGAGGAGGAGGAAGAAGAGGAGGAAGAAGAAGAGGAGGAGGAAGAAGAAGAGGAGGAGGAGGAAGAAGAGGAGGAGGAAGAGGAGGAGGAGGAAGAAGAGGAGGAGGAGGAGGAAGAGGAGGAAGAAGAGAAAGAGTTCGTTAAATTGTTTTTTAAGCCCAACAGAATATTGAACGCCATTTGATAGAGGTGTTGATATATTAAATGATTATACATATATATTTTTTTTTATTTAACTCATTTCGATAAGGTTGGAAGGTCAGTGTTAGTTTATTAATGTATATACGGCTGAATTCGTCTGTCTGTTTCTATGTTTCAATGATAAATCTCAACTACGTAATCTGTTGTTAATGTGTACGTATGATTACATGACCTTGATGACGTATAGTGTCTCCTGATTGGTGTATTGGTTGATGATGTTAAGCTTCTCATTTCTCATCATTCATCTCACCCATTTTCATTTTTTTTTATATATTTCCTCACGTTATCTATCTATCAATCTTTCTTCTCCTTTCTCGTGTCTTCCATTTCCCCCACATCTGTCTTTAACCTTCAACATCTGTCTTTAACCCTCACCTGATTAGTGGATTTAGTTTTTGACGTACCCATTCCTAAATTGGTGGGTTTGGTCCGTGACGTATCCACTCTTAATTGGCTAGTCTTGCGGCGTGCTTCCCTGACGTCACTGCAGACTTTAAATACCCCGAATTCTCGCTGTATGACGTCAGTAGGCGACATGAACCAAGGCAGGTAGCTGGCTGGTGGTGGTCTTAACTTCCCGCCTGTGTTATACCCTCACCCTTAGCCCGCCCGAGATAGGAGGTTTAAGATATTGCATTTAATTACACTAGAGTTTTTAGCGTAATATCAACGACCCCATGTTTAAATGAATGAGATACGGTGCTTATTATCGCAATTTTATAATATGTTTTTAAAGAATATGTAGATAAGAAGAGAGAGGTTATTCTTAGAGAGAAATATATTGAATTTTTCTCGTAGATGGTGATGTGAGGTGGAGTCCAACTAACAAACTGACACTCGACTCCACAACTGCGAAAAATTCAGTCGTGTAAAATGAAGTCAATATTGAAGTGTGACTCGATCGGATACACAGCTTCGATTCTGTACCTTGATTTTGTTCCAATATTTATCCATTTAAGGTCATTTCTGGTTTATGACTTCAGGTGAAAAATTCATCTTAACGAACTTTAGTGAATCTGTTAACCTTGTGTAGTTTAAGGGCGTTCTAAAATCACTTAAGAGAATTTAAACGTAGGAACCTTTGAGACTCGTGGTCCAAGTCTTTACACGAACATCAGTCCCCCCCCCTCCCCCCCCCTCCTCTCCCCCTTCCCCCCCTCCTCTCCCCCTCCCTTCCCCCCCCTCCCCTCCTTCCAAATGCATTTATAATGGCGTAGGTCGTATCGATTTTGCTATTGCGCGATTTGGACAGGATGATGGCGTCTCCTGCTGTTGTTATTATTATTTTGTTGTTGTTATGGTGTTATAGCTGTTGTCCGTTGTTTGTTTGTTTGTTTACCTTGTTACTGTCTGTCTGTCTGTCTGTGTGTGTGTGTGTGTGTGTGTGTGTGTGTTTGTTTTGCTCTCAATGTGAATTTGTTTGTTGTTGTTTATCATTTTTACCTTTGTTTTTGTTTTTTTGAAGTTTGTTGTGGTCTGATGGTGCCAGTTGTGGTGATGGTGGTAGTTGTGGTAGTGGTTATTATAGTGGTGGTGGTGTTAGTAGTAGTATTGGTTGTTGGTTGGTAATAGTGATTGTGGTAGTGATGGTGGTAGTGATGATAATGGTAATAGTGATTGTGGTAGTGATGGTAATGGTAATAATGGTAATATGGTGATTGTGGTAGTGATGGTGGTAGTGATGATAATGGTAATAGTGATTGTGGTAGTGATGATACGGTAATAGTTTGTGG